GTTAAACATATCTGCTATTAGTCTTTTACTTAATAGCATATTATTAGGTTTCTTTTCTTTTAAAGGGTGTATTTTAAATTTTTTGAATGATGTAGTTATTCCACTAGATGTCAGGCTAACCTAAAAAATATTAATTGCTATAAAATTAAAACCATGTATCTTATCAGATATCTCTCCCTATTTAAGCATTTCAAACAATTTCTACGGTGTTCAGTTGAGCTAGCAGATGATTCTCATACTATAATTTAATGAAGACAATGTTTTTGTAGATATCTTTGAAATTGAGATTGTGGATGCTCCATGACTGTATATTAAATAAGAAGAATGTATTTTTCCTGTGCTATAGAAGATTATAGAGATTTTGAGTTTCTCATTAAAAACTTGAACTCTATCATTAATAATACTTTTATGAAATACAAAAGATTAGCTTCTCATATTTTCATATTTTGCTTAATACAAACTATATGCCAGACACTTTGCTAAATGCTTTATCATATTTAATCATAATTAATGAGTTATATCAATAAATGTATCTCCATTAATAAAGCAATCCTGTGAGGTAAACAGTATTAGTCTAATGCACCTCACAGACCTAAAAGCCCTACCTCTGAAACTTGCTGCATTGGGAACCATGCTTCCAACTCATCATGAGCTTTTAGGAATATTCTAGATCCAAACCATAACATTCATATTTCTAAAAAGTAAAGATATTTTAATAGTCTTGTCAACATCTATGCCTCTTGGAACTCAGTTTTTTTTTTTAATGATCTAGCTAAATAATGATGTTGATTAGGAGAGGTTAAGACAGTCATGGAAAGAGCATAGGAGTTAGAATCAGAATTTGGTTTGTATCTCAGCATCTTTATTTTCTTGCTTTAGTCTGAGAGTTGGCAAGTTATTTCACATCTTCACTGAACCTCAGTTTCCTTATCAGTTAGGTGTACATTCAGAATAATGTCTGTCTTGTAGTGATGAAATAAAGATTTATTTATTTTATTTATGTAATCGATTTTATTTTTTAAAATACACAACTGCGGAATGCATTACAATTCTTATTACACATATAGAGCACAATTTTTCATATCTTTTTTATATCTCTGTTTGTATATAAATTATGTTGACACCTAATTCATGTCTTCATAATGTACTTTCGATAATGATGTCCAAGAAATGAAGATTTAATGAGAAAATATGTGGCAAGTTTCTACCACAGTGCCTGCTGTCTAATAAGCTGCTGTCTAAGTAATTAGTTCAGTAATTTTTGTTTTTATTATAGTTACAAATTTCTCAGTCTGACAGCAAAAGATATTACTTTTGTAAGTACTATGGGTTAAAACCCCTCCTATTTGGTCATGTATAAAATAGCAACATCACATTCATATCTAACTGACTTAAAATATCTATTGACAGTGTACATTCAGAGGCTAATTAATTTTCAAAATGAGAATATATCCACTGAGGAGCTAAGAATTAAAATATCTTATACTTAGTCAATGTTTTTCAAGTACCTTTGATGCTTGGATGTGATAATAAAGCTAGATAAATTTATTTATATTAATCTATTCTTCTCTAGACTCTAATAGATCCCAAATTATCTCTCAATTTCAGCTTTCTTTACATGGGCTTTCAAGATGAATATTCCTAAAAGTATGGCTCAGACTGAATTACAACTTGCTCAGGCATCTGCAGGTTTCATTGCCTGTCAAAGTAAGTGTACAGTAATTTTGGTTAGTCATGTCATAGACTATTTCCCCCACTTTTTCTATATAGTATACCTCTGTATGCATGCAGAGCTAAACCAAGATACGTGGGTACAACACTTGATGTCTGTAATTCAAGTTTATATTTTGAAAATATCTGTAAATTTATTTAATGGGCCTGAAATTAGATTTTTATTTTACATTTTAAGAAATTTAAAAAATCTGGGAGAATACAAAGGACAATATAACAAAACACTCTCATTCTCCTGATATAAAAATAACAATTAAAAAAATCATGTCTGTTTTTTTTTCAAGGGCTAAAACATTATGGTTTAAGACATAGGTAACAAAGGTAACAAAGTCAACACCCTCAGTCTCATTTACCTTTCTGTCCACCACCCAAATCTTCCTCTATGAAGTGTTTGATGTGCCTCCTGCCTAACCAATTTTTCAAATACTTATTTATGCTTACAAACAAATATAGTACAGTTTGTTTTAATTTATGTGCATTATATCATTCTGAATTTTTCTTAATGTTATATATTTTAAATTTGTTTAATATAG